ATTTTGGGTAATATGAGTATAAACATCACTTCTTGGTTCTTTCGGTAAAGTCACGTAGAAGGGAAGTAATAAAATAATAAAAATAAAACACAATAAAATAATTCTCACGACATTTCGGCCACAACGCAAGCAGCCATCCTCAGGTGAAGAACATGTCTGTCGATAAGACAGAGTCTAAATGACACGTCTTAGGCTTGCAGTGTCTATTTAAGCTGTGAGGGAGGAGGAAGAGAGCCTTGACAAAAAAATTTGCATTTGAAGAGGAATTTAGCATATTTATGGGAAATGCAAGGAATGCGAATAGTGCTAATTGTGAAATGCGTGGGAGGTGGGCGGGGGGTTTTCAGTCATATTATGCCCATGCATTATGCAGGATTAGCAGCTTCAAAGGGAGGGGGCAGGGGCAGCACCAACAAAGGGAAGGAATGTGAATAGTATGCAGCTGCAGCAACCAAACAACCATGTAAAAAACTAAAGTATAAACTTCATAGTATCATCAGTATACTAAATATACTCTCCAATAAGCTGAGCTACTAACAGTAAGTAATACATTACAATTCTACGTCGCAAAAAATATAATATGCTTACAGCTAAACTTTTTTCCCTTACATCAAACAGGTCTAACCCGTACTATATGCTGCCATAGACAAACCCAACATTAAATTATATACTGTATTACTATACACCACCCTATACCTTATACATTGTTATATTACACTATGTATTATTCTACCCACCCTAATGTATATCACACTGCTATATATTCACTATACAATTACGATACTATATATTACTTTGTACATTGTATTAAGCATATAAATGTTATACTATTTGTTATTATACACTGTAACATTGACCGTCGTGTGAAAGATACTAAGAGGCAGCAACGAAATATGAGAATGGGAGAGTAGCAGAGCAAAGAATCCATTCCCTGCGGAGAATACAATGCCAGTGAGTGGAACGCGGTCTGAGAGTCACCGTAAACCAGTGGCGGCTCCTGCAAAATCTCTCAGGGGGGGCAAATGTCTGGATGATTGATAAGGATAAGGTCCACCCATGCAATGGATAAGCTTAAGCATGTGAAGGCAACTTCACTTCTTTAATATTAATGAAAAATAAAGTGACTCTTACAATACATCTTGTTTGTTTCTATACTCACTATTAAAACAAACCACTCAAGTTTATTTTATTAAAGATTCCACTAGGTGGCCACAAATTATATTGTTGGATGAAACGTGCTTACGTATGATGACGTAAGCACGTATGATGACGTAAGCACGTTAGGGCGAGCCCTCCCGGAAGCCATAGAGAATGCATTGGAGCGCCCTCCCAGTCTCCTCATTTTTACAACCTTTTCAGCGTGCCACTCATTGACATGCTAATTTCTCTAACCCCTCCCTCTCTCTCCGTCCCCGCCCCCTCTATTTAAGGCATCGACACAGAGGCGTGGTTTCTCTGTGTGCCTATGTATCTCTGTGATATCTGTCTCCACTTATATGTCTGTCTATATGTCTCTGGTTCTGTGTTTTATCTCTCAAATTTAGCATTCTCAGGAGGAACGTAATCAACCAGGTAGGGTGTTGGCTGTTCTGTTATCCGACTCTCTGTTGTATTAGATTACATTTCTAAGTATACTAGATTTGTGTTTCTATTTCATTTATACCTGATGATGATTGCTTGTGTTGCAATCGAAACGTCGTATGCTAGTATTTAATTTATTATTTTCTCTTTATACGTGACTTTACCGAAAGAACCAAAGAGTAATTCCTGCAGTCACGAAAGCTCAAAATTAAGTATGCCAACCAGGAGTTTAACTAGCTTGTTTCCAATTGCAAGCTGCTCTTAACACTGCTCACATCTGTTACACTCTACGATACAAACTGTTCGCAATACTCAAAACAGGTACCTGATCACTGAATGGGATGATGCATAAGGTGTACATTGTCGCTGGGATTAGATTGGAGACTTCAAGGTGGGTGAGCCCTCCTTGCACCTCCATATTGGTGTGTTTTTCTCCCTCGGTAACGTAAACCTAGACATAAATAATTCACAAAAATCACTCGTTGCATGAGACAGAATGATTTGCAGTAAGTACAGTGAGATTGTGCAATTCATTGAATTAAATACATCAGATTCATGAGAGAGGAATATAATTTCGATTTAAAGCTTTCGTGACTGCAGGGATTCATCTTCTTGGTTCTTTCGGTAAAGTCACGTAGAAGGGAAGTAATAAAATAATAAAAATAAAACATAATAAAATAAAATAATTCTCACGACGTTTCGGCTACAACGCAAGCAGCCGTCTTCAGGTGAAGAATGAGACACTGCCAAGCTAGGAGCTTATATAGAAGCTGGGTTGGAGGTGGAAGAAGAGTGCCTTAACAAAAAGAATGTGCATATCAAGAGGAATTTAGCATATTCATGGGAAATGCGTAGGAGGTGGGCGTGGGTGTTTCAAAGTCATGTTATGCCCATGCATTATGCAGGATCAGCAGCACCAAAGGGAGGGTGCAGGGGGTAGCATTAACAAAGGAAAGGAATGTTAATAGTATGTAGCTGCAGTTACTAAACAACCACGTAGAAAACTAAAGTATAAACTACATAAAAAACTAAAGTATAAACTGCATAGCATCATCAGTATACTTACTATACTCTAAAATAAGCTGAGTTACTAACAGTAAGTAATACATTACAATTCTACGTCGTAAAAGTTATATAATATGCTTCCATCTAAACTTTATTCTCTTACATCACACGAGTATACACCGTACTATATACTGCCATAGACAAACCCAATATTAAATTATATACTGTATTGCTATAAACCTTATACATTTTAATATTACACTATGTATTATTCTACCCACCCTAATGTGTATCACACTGCTATATGTTTACTATACAATTACGATACTATATATTACTTTGTACATTGTATTAAGCATATAAATGTTATACTATTTGTTATTATACACTGTACCATTGACCGTCGTGTCAATGGGTGGGTCGTGGGGGGAAACTTGCAGTGGAGCAAAGAATCCATTCCCTGCGGAGAATACAATGCCAGTAAGTGGAACGCGGTCTGAAAGTTACCGTAAACGTGAACAACAATCAGTTAAGATCCGAAATGGTTTATTATGTCCTTCCAATGATTGCTAAGCCAGAATCCATCTTCTCGGTTGAAATTGTCTCTGTGTTTGTATATGTGGATCGCCTCATGAACGAATCTCTCATGATAGCCAGATGGCTTGCAGAGGACCTCTGTCTTGGAGAAGTCAATGTCATGTGAGCCCACTGAGTTGTAACAGTGATCTGCCACGGCTGAGGTGTTAGTTCTACCGTGTTTCAGGTCTGCTTTATGTTCACGGATGCGGTCCGAGACATGTACAAAGTAATATATAGTATCGTAATTGTATAGTAAACATATAGCAGTGTGATACACATTAGGGTGGGTAGAATAATACATAGTGTTATATTAAAATGTATAAGGTTTATAGCAATACAGTATATAATTTAATATTGGGTTTGTCTATGGCAGTATATAGTACGGTGTATACTCGTGTGATGTAAGAGAATAAAGTTTAGATGGAAGCATATTAGATAACTTTTACGACGTAGAATTGTAATGTATTACTTACTGTTAGTAACTCAGCTTATTTTAGAGTATAGTAAGTATACTGATGATGCTATGCAGTTTATACTTTAGTTTTTTATGTAGTTTATACTTTAGTTTTCTACGTGGTTGTTTAGTAACTGCAGCTACATACTATTAACATTCCTTTCCTTTGTTAATGCTACCCTCTGCACCCTCCCTTTGGTGCTGCTGATCCTGCATAATGCATGGGCATAACATGACTTTGAAACACCCCCGCCCACCTCCTACGCATTTCCCATGAATATGCTAAATTCCTCTTGATATGCACATTCTTTTTGTTAAGGCGCTCTTCTTCCACCTCCAACCCAGCTTATATATAAGCTCCTAGCTTGGCAGTGTCTCATTCTTCACCTGAATACGGCTGCTTGCGTTGTAGCCGAAACGTCGTGAGAATTATTTTATTTTATTATGTTTTATTTTTATTATTTTATTACTTCCCTTCTACGTGACTTTACCGACAGAACCAAGAAGAGAGGAATATAAATGAAGCAAACTCAAAACATTGAAAAGTCCATACAGAAATATCGACATATACAATTAAAAGTTTTACTTTGTCAGGTTTGGCTACGTCTGACTTCATTACCAATTGTTGCTCAAAGCCACCATCCTTCTATCCCGACTCCGTAGACCAGAAAAGGTAAACAGCCAATGAGGAGTTGGAATAAATCAAGACCAGCACTCCCCACGCATTTGCATTGGATATAACTTAATTGGTGTCACCCTCTCACTTGTAATGCATTTCAGGCAACATTAAAACTAACATTCTGGATGAGAAAGCATTGTAAATTTGATGATACTGAGAATGAGGAAGAGATGTGGTTATGATTGAACTCCGCAAACTTCTGTTAAAATGGACCTATATATGTAGGCAGCAAATGATGTTTGTGGCAGGATCCGAATGGGGAAATAGTATGAAAAAAATGCATACTTTTGGCACATTCTCCGTTACTGCAACCAAATGCATTGCACGTCAATATGAAATCTAACAAAATGCCGAAATCTGTAAGAAAAGATGCTGCACGTTTCCTAATGATACTCGCCATCATACTTGCAAGCATCATTTTTTTTAAGCATTGCATCTGGTTTGAGAATGTATGTGCAAGGCACATTCCAATGACGTCATCACGTGATAGTAGCAGACTTGCACTTTTTGGAAAGTGCAGATGTCAAAAATGTTTGAAATTACGAAACCAATAATTGTCTGGTTATGTCCTCAGTAAGATAAATATTTTTGTTACGATTCATTTTTTTCCTCTGACGTACCGTTTGGGAGATACAGACACTATTGAAATATCGAGAATAATGTTTCCAGTGAGTAGAAATGTAATAGTGAAAATATTGTGACTCAGCTGTATAATACAAAGTGCTTGAGATTAGACGCAGCAGAAGCACACATGCAACAGCAGCAGCGGGCATGCACAGCAACGTTTGTACCGGTACAACACGCAGCAGCAGCTGCACCACATTTCTGTCATCAATATATAACAACAAGACACAAATGTGTAATGGCACACAAGATTTCAACGCAAGGTTGAACAAAAAATCGTCCACTGTCCATGCCTGGAATTCTGCCCAAGGGTCTGGTGACAGTGACTCCCACTCCAGTTTCACCGATCTTGGATACACCTCCACCCTAACGTGCTGGATCTCAGAGGATCTGCACGGCTCCAGAGTCTCCACAGCTTCTGTCCTGAATAATGCAAATATATATATATAAATCACGCGATAATTCAAGCTTGCGAGTTATCAGTTTCCAATGTCTCATTAATTTTGTCGTGATACAAAAATAGACAATCACCAGATGTTTCCCTAATAATGGATATAAAGGATGCTCGTGATATAGAATGTGGGTGGTTAATCGTCACAGTCGACAATGACCATCCCTTCATGCGCTCTCTCACACTCAGGGGTGTAGAAGTCAATATGTCGTTATTTGGGGTTTGTTTTTGGTTCTATTGCGAATTCTCATGAGACCGTGTAGTCAGATTTTGGACCCGCAGACACAAGAACATTCTGGGCATTTCAGACGAGCAGGTGCACAGGTGCTGAGATTAGCGTTTTTTGCGATAGAATATGATATACTATACATGTGGTGAGATTAAACTGTATATAACACAATTACCACCATGGCATATTTTTAACTCATTTTAGGTGTTCTCTGTAGCACAACAAAACATTCACCAAGTTTAATAAGTCTACTCGCGGTTTTTAACAGTTTGAGCAGCTGGTAAATGTAACCCGTTTTTGAGAGTTGTTGGCCACAAACCTGTGCCTCTTGTAAATGTTCATCGGTGTGTGTTCAGATATCTACTGGAAATCTGTGAAACTACTAAACATCTGTGAAAAAGAGTTTTATAGCTCATCGGATTTCTCACCATAAATAAATATTATTCTATGTCGTGTATTACTTTGTGTGATTACATCTTTGAGTGTGTAAAATACACGTATAAACATATCGGGGGTTGTTTCTTCATTGAAGATTTTTTTGTTTAAAGTTTGTATATAAAGGGGTGAGAACTCACGAAATCAGGTTTGAGCCTCATCTTCAAGAATTACCCAGGTCGACCAAAAATGCACTAACATAAAAACAATGCAATGGTGCAGGCCAAGGGGCTTATGGGTCAAAATGGTATTTTCACGTGGATAAACACTCTTCTTGCCTGTTGATTTTATACTGCACAATTCACCACGACAACAGAGTAAAAGGTGTACAATGCATGCAGCGTGCAATTTTAAAATAACGCAAGAGTGCTTCCAACAACAACTCTTTCAGCCGTTTAACGATACAAACCGCAATCATTTGTTTTGTGATGATGAATGGAGAGAAATCGCATACACCGTGGAAGCGTGCACATCGGTCGGATGGGCAGGAAGAGTAGGAAGGGTAGGTCTCCGAAGTCTCTGGGAGGTGGTGTGGTTGATCGATTTCCAGCCTTGAGTCCGTGATGTCTCTGTAGCGCGTGGGCCTCCTGTAGTTTGGTAGAGTGTTGAGGCTTCATTGAAATGGGATATTTCTGTAGCTGCAGTTTCGTTCTCAAATGCAGGGCAGGTGAGAATCTGCAGCTGCAAATATCACAAGAACAAATATGTCAACTGATAGCTTACTAAATAGGATATGCAAATTCGTTATTTAGTGTCTTACTTTAATTCTCCATAGATAAAGTATTGCGGAGCAGTGATACTTGCACTTGACACACTTAGACGAGGAAAAACGGCTCATATCACTGGCACTTGGTGTCACTGACCAGCATGGTTAAGCATGGTCAAATAACTCCCATAACCCACTTCGTGTGGGGAGGCGCTCAATGAACAGTGAGCTGACAATGAGGGGTGCATTTATTCTTATGTAATGCGGGCGTAAACGGCCTCGCGGATGTGATGTCACGGGGGGAGGAGTTAGGTCACGTGGGAGAGAGGGATCAAGTCTTAAGGGGGAGAAACCGGAAGAGCGGGGAGAGAGTTGGAGAGAAATATAGAGTGAGGCCACGCAGGGCGGAGGTTGGAGGGTGGCGAGATCGCCACACACCCAGGATAAGTCTCGGCACCGTCGGTCAGCGGTGACCGAGCACGGAGGAACGGGGAGCCGGTTGAGGCTGCAGTGAGGGCAGCCGGAGGCCTGCATGAGGAGATCAGCAGCGGAGCTGCATCAGAGTGGAGTGAGAGGCTACGGGAGCGACGGCAGCATCGGGCTGCCAAGCGGGGGAGTCTCGGAGAGAGGGAGTCTCGGAGAGAGAGCCGTGTGGGCAAGGATAAAAAACCCGAATAAAGGACAACGAAGACAGACACAGTGGCCGAGTCTTTTATTACACTGGTGTCAGAAGTGAAACGGCATGTCAAAACAACTGAGAAAAAAGAATATTCCTGCGCCATCATCTGCTACATCATCCGACGACGACGACCTTCCTAAGGCGGCTTTTCAGGGCCTGCGCGATCTATTGGCTACGGCGCCGACGTTGGACTATCCGGATTTTGACCATCCCTTCATTCTGGATACGGACGCGAGTGACACGGGCATTGGGGCAGTGTTGTCTCAGTCCAAAGGGGGTGTGGAGCGCGTGGTGGCGTACGGTAGCCGGGTTTTGTCTCCTGCAGAAACCCGCTACTGCGTCACTCGCAGGGAACTTTTGGCTGTTGTTTTTTTTCTCCGCCAATTTCGACCGTATCTCTACGGCCGTTCGTTTATTGTGCGCACTGATCATGCGGCCTTGCAGTATGCTCTTAAGATGGACCAACCATCCGGCCAGTTGGCGCGTTGGTTGGACACGCTGCAAGAATTTTCCTTCCAAATTCACCATCGGAAGGGGGTGCGTCACGCGAATGCGGATGCGCTTTCTAGGTTGCCGCAGCGATCCCCTTGCGCGTGTGCGTCTGGGATGCATAGGTGTGTGCCGATTCAGCCTCCCCCTCAGCCGGTTGCGTTGGCCGTCGAGGTGCCTGATGCTCCAATGGAGCCGGGACCGGCTGATGGGGTTTTGAATCTTCCAAGGGCTGTGTGGATTCGGGAACAAATGTTGGACGACTCATTGGTGTCCTTACGGAAGCGGCCTGCGAAGGAGGGTGGGGGTCCGGGTACGGGCGGTGGGCCGGAAACCGCTCTCCGCGATGGTCTGCTGATGTGGAGGGAAGGGTTACAGGAACGCTGGCGTCTGGTTGTACCGGCGTCCTTGCGGTACGAGTTGATTAGGACTCTGCATTCCGACACACTCTTACATCTGGGGGTGCAGAAAACCCTACTGACGTTGCAGCGAAATTACTTTTGGCACGGCTTGGCGACAGATGTCGTCGGGCACGTTCGCGTGTGTCCCGATTGTGCCCGGCGAAAACCACCTAAACATCCATATGTGCCGCCGATACAGTCTATTCAGGTGTCTCGAGTTAATGAATTGGTGGCGCTAGACATTTTGGGACCCTTCCCGCCATCCGCGAAGGGTAATAAATACTTGCTGGTTGGGGTGGAGTATCTCTCCCGCTGGCCGATGGCCTGGCCGTTGCCCGACCAGTCGGCGGCGTCTATTACAGACGCCTTTCTATTTGGGTACGTTATGGACAAGGGTGCGCCGGAGAGGCTCCTCACAGACCAAGGCCGAAATTTTTATTCTAAATTGTTGGGGGAAGTGTGTGCGGCTCTTGGGACTAAGAAAATATGGACATCTTCCTACCACCCGCAAACGGATGGTATGGTCGAACGGCTTAATCGGACTTTGTCCGCCATGTTGTGCCACACGGTGAGTGAACTTCAATCTGATTGGGATTTGCATATCCCTGGGGTACTTTCGGCGTACCGGATGACGCCGCATGCGGCTACAGGATATTCGCTGTTTTTCCTTATGTACGGTCGTGAAAACGTGCCGCCGATGGATGTGCAGTTGGGAACTGGAGTGAGGAGACCTGCTACGCCTCTTCCTGATTACATTCAGGACACCGTTCGCCGTGTTACTGAGGCGCGGGAGGGGGCCCGCATGGCTACGGCCAAAGCCCAGGCCCGGAACGAGCGGTGTGCTCGATGCTCGAAAGGAGAGTGCCCCTGGAAGGTTGGGGACCTGGCCTGGCTCCATTGCCCACAGGTGCGGCCAGGTACCTCTCCTAAATTACACAAACCATGGCAAGGGCCGGTTCGCCTCATCGAGGTTCCCAACCCACAGTCGGCGCGTGTTCGGGTTGGATCTCGGCGTTGGTTCGTTCACACGTCGCGCTTGAAGCCATATGTGGCCCCTCTACCTGATGCGTCATCTCCTGAGGTTGCCTTGCCGGGGTCTGTTGCTGCCGACTCACCCTTGCCTGTGCCTGTTGATCTTGCAAGAGCGCCTGTCGTGCCTGTTACAGACAAGCCGGCCGTGACACCGCAGGGGACGAGGGGCTCTGCTCGGGGGGTGCCTGCCACGGCTGCGGGAACTCCGAGCCCCGCGGCCCTTCCGACCCCGCTGCGGGCACGAGTGCGGGACACCTCCGACGCTGAGCCTTCGGGGATACGGGACCGGGACGTTGGCGGGCCTCCAATAACGACAGGAGGACTTCATCCTGTCGCTCCTAAAACCCCGTCACGTTCCCGGTCTGCGGGAGGGCCGCCGACCGTCCGGGACGGGCCGGCGACCCGCACACACTCGAAATCCCTTACATTTTGTTGATTTTTATTGTTGTGTTCTTGTTCTTACTGTTATGGTTATTGTATGCTTCGTTGTCCTTCAATGTGTCTCGGCCGTGTTCGCTCGCATTTCTTGTTGTCGTTATTGTTCAGCCGAGGTCGGCTGGATTTTTCTCTACGGGGGAGGATGGTGTAATGCGGGCGTAAACGGCCTCGCAGATGTGACGTCACGGGGGGAGGAGTTAGGTCACGTGGGAAAGAGGGATCAAGTCTTAAGGGGGAGAAACCGGAAGAGCGGGGAGAGAGTTGGAGAGAAATATAAAGTGAGGCCACGCAGGGCGGAGGTTGGAGGGTGGCGAGATCGCCACATACCCAGGATAAGTCTCGGCACCGTAGGCCAGCGGTGACCGAGCACGGAGGAACGTCGAGCCGGTTGAGGCTGCAGTGAGGGCAGCCGGAGGCCTGCATGAGGAGATCAGCAGCGGAGCTGCATCAGAGTGGAGTGAGAGGCTACGGGAGCGACGGCAGCATCGGGCTGCCAAGCGGGGGAGTCTCGGAGAGAGGGAGTCTCGGAGAGAGAGCCGTGTGGGCAAGGATAAAGAACCCGAATAAAAGACAACGAAGACAGACACAGTGGTCGAGTCTTTTATTACACTTACATTGGTCACAGACACGCTCCGACTTCGAACATTAGAACACCACCCAGTGCCCAGCACTCGGGGAACTTAGCGAATGCATTACATTTTGCATTTATTATAAATGTAATTAACTAGGTATTTGAAGTTTGTAAATGAAACACATGCGAATACAAAGAAAACTAGTGCAAATGTAGTAAAACAGCAAGAGGCGCCAGAAAAGTTAGGTACTAATGTAGCCAACCATGCTAATCGCACCTCCGATTAGCATGGTTGACTAGGTATGGTGCGAAAGAAGCTCAACATACATACACACTTATGTACAGGTGTAAGTAAGCTCTAGACTTTAGTCTAACAGTGACATGAACGCACTCAAATCGAAAAAAAAAACTCCAGTGCAAACACGTGGAACCAAGAGGCGAAAGAGTAACGTTAGGTACAAGTGCAAGTATGCTCTGTGTTTTCACCTCCTCGGACAGTCGGGTAGTGAGGGGTAAGGAACCAAGATGTAGATGAGTGTGGCAAGGATATTCCAAAAACGTGGAGCAGAAAATACGGAAAAACTTTTTACCAAACAATGATTTAGCAAAGTCACATAGATAGAAAAAATTATAAAGGAACACGACGTTTCAGTCGCAACACAAGCATCCGTCAACAGGTGAGAAAGAATGATCTGCTGTTGTGGCTTTATATAGGCACGGAAAGGAGGGTGGGTGTAGAGTCGTGGCTGCAGGAGTTCACGGGGAGAGGGGGTAGGGTTTGTGGCGTGCAGGGACGGGTGGGGGCTGGAGACATTAGCATGTCAATGAACTTGAATTAGTAAACGAAAACAGTACAGGTGGGTGAGTGAAAATCACAGCAGTTAAAACTTGACGTGGTTGATCACGTTTCTAAAAATTGATTGAGCTTTCGTGGCGGCAGGAGTTCACGGGGGAGAGGGGGGAGGGTTTGTGGTGTGCAGGGACGTTTGGGGGCAAAGTCATGTGACTTTACCGAAAGAACCAAAGAGCAATTCCTGCAGTCACGAAAGCTTCAAATCAAGTTTAATTTTGAATGAGTAAACTCGTATTTTTTCTTTTTAAACAGCACGGGTGGGTGAGTGAAAATCACAGCAGTTCAAACATGACGTGGTTTATCACGTTTCTAAAAAAAAAAAGAAGGACGGAGAGGGGGACACATGGGTTGCTTATCACCCGCAATTGGCCAAGTAAGTCCTGGTTCTCAGACCGACTGGCACTGTTTCAGGGCAAAGCCTGAGAAAATCCAAAGAGGCCGGATCTACTCAGCCAGAGAAGAATTTGGTGTCAGGGTTCAGCCAGAAATGTGACAGACGGCATGGTAATTGG